AGGATCTAGGTTAATTCAGCTTTCATAATGCATCTGCAGAAAACCAAGGGACTCCTGTCCCCTTGGGAAGTCTGGCCAGCCAGCTGCTGAGCCGAGATATCCAGGTCCCACCTGTGGGAACCTGTGCTGCCGTGTGTGGCCAGTGCATTCACAGACATGGCTTAGAGAAGGACCGTGCATGGAGAGATTTCCAGGAACGACCCAGGGGAGCGGAACTTTAGGTGTGAGGACAGGAGTCTTGTAAGAGGAGGCACAGGGAGTCCCGACCTTCGAAAGGCGGGATGGGAAGTGAGAGGGTGGTGTGGTGCCAAGAAGGGACCAAAGGATGGGCATCATAGGGCCTGTGGCCCCAAACTCAAGAGGCTGAGGCAGGGGGATCGCTTGAATTCAGGAGTCTGAAAGCAGCCCAGGTGGCACAGCCAAACCTCATAGGTGCCTCTCCCCGCCTAAATAATTCTAGAAACCAGGAAGACCAGGGATGAAGTTCTTCCCTCAGCGCACTGGAGGAAAGCAGCCTTCAGGCCCCTTGGCTTCGGTCTGCCCTCCAGAAGTGTAGGACACTGAGCTTGGGTTGTTCTAAGCTGCCGAGCCTGGGGTAGTTTGTCACAGCTGTCACCTCGGTCAGCAGTGTGGCCAGCACAGGGGATCCGTCTAGAATTCAGTACTTGAGCCTGGTTTCCAGGGCCAGTGGAGTGAGAGGCGAAGTTCTGGCGCCCAAGGTGAGATGTGTGGACTTCACTGTCCAACTCTGGGCATTCCTGCCTTGGAGCTGCAGCATCCTTTCAGGTTTCCGAGATCCTAGAGTCCTACAGATCCCCACCTCTGCCTTCCTGCCAGGTGGGGAATCCCAGGAAAATCAAGGTGGAATTGTCCCATTTGTAGCTTAACCTTTACTGTGCAGCCTTGGAATCTAGTCAGTTGCCTTAGGGCAGATGTTGGTTTCATCCAAGCTGATTGAGGCTCTTGCAAAGTTCATTTATTTGTGCAGAATTTAGATGATCTCATAAAACCTGAGATTCCCAACTTCTCATCAGAAGGGAAGAGGTGACCATACAGGGTCCGGCTTTGGCAGGGGACAGGGTGGCCCAAGTGGCTGTGCCTGCGTTCCGGGCTGTCTTATCCATCAGGGCTTTCTTCATTTATTTCTCTCATTAACTTGGACTCTGGGGTAATATTTGAATCTGTGACTCTGCTTTAAATAAAAAGGAGTGGAATCTGTATTCTGTCATGGAACAATTTCCTACTTGGTCGGTAATCCTGGATTCATGGAAAATGAGAGAGGTGATGGCAGAGATGAGCCAGGGGGGTGTCTTGATTTTTAAGGAGCAGGAAACTCAGTGGATTTTGGACACCACAGAGCATGAGTTCTCGGGAAAGCTGTCAGCCAGTCCTGGGGGACCAAGGGGAGAAAGCCAGTCTGAGCTGGTTGGTGGTGTGGAGTGCAGCCCTAGGCCCACTCCCTGTGTGGCAGGATGACCCAGCCTGGACCAGAGGTCGTTAGCACAGTGACAGGCTGCAGAGGCATTTGGGGCTGGTTGTGGGGACAGGTGGGGGGTCTCGGGCGGGCAGCACATCAGGAGGCTGAGCACTGGTCCCCATCTGACGTGGCCCTCAGGTCCTCCTAGTTATCTTGGGCATGAAGTTGTGAGTCCCCTGTCCATGTCATTCTGCTGAGCCGATATACTAATGTCCAACGAGAGCCTGGGAAAGCACAGGTCACTCCGCTTAGCGGCCTCTGCATTCCTTCTTGGGACTGGGTGGGAGGGGTTCCCAAGCCAGGCTGGGACACTTGATTGGCCTGGAGGGGGTTGTACTGCTCTAGAGCCTGCTTTCATGTGACACCCCACAAACTGGACCCAGATCTGGGCGCTTCTGATTTCTCCCATCTGCAGCTTCGGCTCTGTGAGTTCTCATACCTGGAAAGTGGCCCTAGACAGTGTTCCCTTGCTACAGTGCCTGGCCATTTTGAAAGGACTAAGGGCTCCAGCCCCCATCCAGGTCCTGGATGTGGTCAGGGACACTTCTCTCTCGGGGTGAAGCTTGGCTTCCTGCGAACATCTGAGGCCGCAGCTCAGTCCTGACGCTGGCTTCCCCACAAGCTGCCATCACCTTCTTGAACCTTTCTATCTCAGGGCAGCTCCTGATGGTCGCTGCCATATGACATGGCTGAGCATGTCCCACTTGGGCTGAATCTTCCAGGACAGCTGCTCCAGGATGCCTGGGGAGACCCGGACCCCTGTCCCTTCCTGAGTACTACAGAAACCTATTTCACCCACCTTGTCAATAAAACGGGGCCCATGAGCAGCAGGGAAATAGGTTTCACTTCCGGAACTCAGAGAAGGGGCTTTTCAGGAGCAGAGGCGTGGCACAAGGCTTCAGAAACACAGGGAGGTGGTTTCCGGCTATCAGGGAGTACTCGCTGACCACCACAGGATGGGATCTGAAGACTGGCTCCACTGTACTGAGTTCCAGTTTGAAGCAGCTGGGCCTCCAGGATCAGGGCCAGACACCTGCCGTGGCTCATGCCGGGCCTGGGATGAGGAGAGACTTTTTTTTTTGTCTTTTTCTTTTTTATCGGTACCAGGGATCGAACTCATGACTGCCTGCTTGCAAGGCAGGCGCTTATGCTGCTGAGCTAAATCCGGGGTGGGGAGAGATTTAACTTGAAGGAGGATGTTCCTGGGTCCCAGCGCCTAGGCACAGTTTGTGCTCGGGTATGTTAATATTAGTGCTCTGTCCACACTGCACCAGGAGGCCCGAGGAGAAACCAGGAGCCCTCCTGGTGGGGCAGGTACTGTCCTACTGAGGCTTCTGGGTACCGATGGCCTCCCTCTAGCCCCTTTATGTGGTGCAGCATGGGCACCATCCTTCCAGAGGGATTTAGTGACATGGTGTCAAAAGAAGACACTGGAGGTGACAAAGAAAGCAGGCGCCAGTTCATCCTATCATAGCAGAGAGAACGCATCTCTGCCCTGAGCCCCAAGGACAATCTGAGACCCCAGCAGAGTTGGGACATAGAGGAGGAGTTAGGCTGGTGCCTGCTGGCATCACCAGGCTGGAAAATGCCAAGAGTGGTGAGGTGTCTCCATGCTGAAGGCCAGGTTTCCCGTGGAGCAGAGGAGACCCGGGAGTTGGCTGGCACAGTGACAGGATCTGGGCTCCCCAGGAGGCAGAAGCAGCTGACTTCAGCTCAGTGTGGAAGGAGCTTTGCTAACTATCAGAACTCCTTCCAGATGGAAATGGGGTCCTTGTCCTGTTGGCCAACAGCTGGGCAGGAGCTGGAAGGGTTCCTGCTTGGCGTGGGGTTGGTGTAGATGACTGTATCAGCTCTCCGGAGAGCAGATAACCAAGATTTGAGACTTGCAGGGGGAAGGTTGCTTTGGGCTTGCAGCATCAGTCCGTGGTCTGCCAACTCTGTTGCTATAGACTGTGGTGAACCAGAAGCATCAAGGTAGAAATAGGGCTCAGAGGAAAAGCTGGCAGCTGGGGTCCTGGCAGGCATCTTTCTCTCCAGAGAGGAAGGGATGGGAGCCGAGTCCACCCCTCCTCCCTTCTCCACACCCATCTGCAAGTCCCTGTCTCTCCCAGTGCCCCTTGAACCGCTCCAGCAACAGAGGCAGAGAATGGGTTCTGAGCCCAGCAGCAAACCCATCTCACCTGGGGGCTCTGAAAGATGGTAATGCGTGCATGGCCCTGTCCCCAGAGATGCCTGGCTGGCTGCATGGCTGGCTGGTGCAGTCCTGGAGACTGACCAAGGCCTTGGCTCTGAGCTACATGTTCAGCCGTTTTCTCTTTTATAAAAGTTTCAGACAGGGTCTCCTTAAGGCTGGGCTCCAATGTGTAGTCTTCCTGCCCCAGCCTTGCAGAGGCCTGAGCCACCAGGACTGGCTCCAGAGACAACTTTTTAAAAGGAACATCACTGAATCATATACCCATCCAGGCCCACCCCCCGGGGCATACAGGGCAGTGGCTTCAGTGTGTCCACTGCCCTGGGTGGTCATCAGGACATTGTAGCAGCACTTTCCTGCCCACCAGCTCCCTCAGCCTAGGTAACCGTGCATCCACTTTTGGCCGATTTGCTTTTTCTGGATGTTTTGTGTGGATGGAACCCTGTGATATATGGTCTCGTTACTGGCTTCTTCTGCTTAACTCCAGGTTGGAGCATGTGTTAGGACTCCGTTCCTTTTTATTGCCAAGTAATATTCCCTTGGGTCTGTGCCTGCATTCTGGTTTCCACTGGTCAGCCACTGGCGCTTGGGTTTCGTCTGCTTCCTGGTTCTTCTGCCTGAGGCCGCTGGTGAACTACACAAATGGGGCTTCGCATGGGCCTCTGCTTTTGTCCTCCCAGGATTTCTGGGTCACGTGGTGACTTTGAGGGGTTGCCAAGGCAGCCTCGTTTCCAGTGCAGCTGCACCGCTTCGCAGCTGCATCATCACCGCCAACGATTCCGCCCGGAATTCCGAGTGCACTGGGCCGGCCGCGTCCTCTCGATGCCTCTGCTGGAAACTGGACCCATGAGAACTGCTCACCACGCTGCAGCTGGGAGGAGGGGCTCAGCCCGGTGGCTCCTTCCCGGCAGTGGGGTCCTCCTGCCCCCAGGGCCGAGGCAGGCTGAGGTTAGGGGAGAGGAACCCCCTCTCAAGGAGGTGTGGCTCAGTGTGGTGCAGCTGATCTGGAGAGCTGGCAGGGTGAAGCAGAGAGGGTCACGGAGGCCATTCCGCTTCTGAGGATGGGACACCTGTGTCCTGCCTTTCTCAGTGCCAAGGTGCTGAGGACCGCCTCGCACGTTCCTGCCATTCCCAGAGGTCACTCTGCCGAGATGCTCTTGAAGGCGAGCAGCCTGCCCAGCTGAAGCCCAGCCCTGGTCCTTCCAAGCCTGTGCTCGATCAGCACAGGCCAGGCGATGCCTGTGGGAGCCGGGCAGTGCCTGGAGCTCTAGGAAGTCTCTGCTTCCACTGGCAGGGGCCCCAGGGGCTGAGCCTGTTCTTCTGTGTCCTCAGCCACAGTGCAGGGTACGAGAGCGAGAGCCACACCACACCCATCCTGTGCGGCGCGCAGTACCGGATCCACACACATGGCGTCTTCCGGGGCATCCAGGTGAGTGCCCACCTGGATGAGGACTCCGCACGAGGGCCTCCTTGGGGGAGTCCTGGCCCGGCAGCTCTGTGTCAGGTTAGGGTGAACAGTGAGGTAGGAAGTGAGAGTCCCTGAGTATCCAGTGCCTCTCGGGGCACTCAGAGCCACATACACGTAGCTGAGTTACAGATGGATCTTCTCGGTGGCTGCACCACAGGACGGCTGTGTTGTACCCCAAGAGAGCCTGTGGCCTAGAATTTGGTCCTGTGGACCAGGCACCTAGCTCCATAGGTGAGGCCCTTAGCTCCGAGAGCATCAGTGTCTCTAGCTGTGAGAAAGGGCAGTGGAGACACAGACATGCACCACAGGCAGGGTTCAGGGCACCCTCGGGGCTCTGCCAACTAGGACGTTTGGTGCTAGGGAGAAGAGCTCTGGCTTAGGACCCCAGCTCCGCGCATGGCATCAAGGAGGGGAACCAGAGATGCTCCCCTTGTCTTCTCCCGTCAGGCCCATTGCTCAGACCCGCTGGACAGTGGGGACTCCCTGAGGGCCCCACCCACCCCACTGGCCAGTGTCACCCCATGCCACACTTCTCTGGATGCTCCCAGGCTGTGCACGCTAAGGCCAATAGCACCTTTTCTTCCAGACCAGAGTGAGGTGGGAGGTGGGCGTAGGGGGATCCCATGGGGCCAGCTGCTTCCAGGTCACAGATCTACTCTGTGGTCATGGAGGCACACATGGCTGTGGCCTTAGCTTGCCTGTCTGTGATGGAATAGGGAGGCTTAGTGGCCTCTGGGGTTGTGCTCCCCTGTGACTCAGTTTACCCCAGGAAGGGACTCATTGTGCTTTGGACATACAGTCTCCATGTTGGTGTCACCCTAACGGCCGCTTTGGCCACTCCGTGATGTCATAGGGCTGCTTTGTCCTTGTTCTGGAGATGCATGAGGGTCTAGCTGGTTTGGAGTGCACTCAGAAACTCCCATTTTCTTCTCAAGAGGGTGGCTGTACCGTGGCAGACCAGACCAGATGCACCTCTGATTGGGTCACTCGGGGCTGAGCTGGGGGTGGGGCACTGTCCTGCTCTCTGTGCCCACTGCCTGGCGCCCTGAGCAGGCTTTAACCCATCCAGGTTTCTGCTGGACAAGATAGTGCAGCAGCCGTGTAGAAGGTCCCCGCCATCCTCCTGCACTGTCTGGGCACGGAGTGGACAGCTCGAACTGCATAGCCCTGTGCCGCTGTCCCTGCTCTGGGCAACCCCAGCTCTGGAGGCTGTTTGCATGTGGCTGACAGCCTGTGTCCTCTGCTTGTGCCTAGGATGTGCGCCGTGTGCCCGGCGTGGCCCCCACACTGGTCCGCTCGGCCTCCGAGAGCAGCGAGAAGCGCCCTTTCATGTGCGCTTACCCCGGGTGCAACAAGCGGTACTTCAAGCTGTCGCACCTGCAGATGCACAGCCGGAAGCACACGGGTGAGGAAGACTAGGGTCCTGGAGTTGGGGAGGCAGCCGAGGGGCTGCCAGGCGGCTGCTGATGGCCGGGGCGCCTGTCTGTTGCTGAAGTGCACAGGGAACCTCCTTTGGGACAGAGCAGTGCAGGTGGGTGGGGCAGCTGTGCAGGCAGAGGAGGGGACACTGTGGAGTGTGGAAGTGTGGTGCCTCTGGGGTGTTTTCCCCAGGATCCTCCTAGCCGCTCCAGAGAGAGTCACAGGCCTGGGCGAGCAGTGGGGTGGTGCTGTTAAGGCCGGGGGAGGGAGCAGCTTCCCAGAGATGGCCGAGAAGGCCGTGTGCTGGGACAGTGACCAGCTGCCAGCAAGAGATGGGGCCTGTGGTCAAATGGTCTCTGCTGGTCCTGAGAAAGACAATGACCTTGGATAATATGCTGGGGAGATGGGCTCCCCAGTCCTGTAGCTGGCTTGAGCCCAAGCACTGGCCTAGGCCTCCTGCTTTGGGAACACAGAGTGGGCATGTGGCTGGGTCCCCCCAGTGACGCCTTCCTTGTCCTGTGGTGGCTGTGGCTGGTCTCGTATGCTGTGGGGTGGCCTCAAGAGTCATTGCTTCATGGTCCTGCTGACTGTGGGGCCAGGAAGCTGGAGAAGCACAGCAGGAGCCGCCCCCGATGCCCTGCGGCACTGGCTGCACTTGGCCCGAGTTTGTAGAGGCAGCATGGAGCGTGGAGGAGCAGCTCCTCCCAGCTGCTGCTGCAGACCCTGGCGGCAGCACCATGTGCGTCACCTGTGCACGTCACACTCAGTGCTATGACCCAGCTTCCTCAGGGGGCCTCTTGAAGGGCGTCTGTCACAGTCATAGAACCAATCAAGGACCTCAGTCCAGGCCCAGAGCAGGGAGAGCATAGTCACTGGTGATGGGGAGGGGGAAGGGAGGGTGGTCAGCAGCCTGCAGCACCCCTGCATGAGTGGGGCTCTCTCTGTATCTCTGGTGTCAGCAAGGCTCGTGTGCTGAGCACTGTTGCCGTGCTGGTATGGAAGTTCAGTTTAATCCTGTGCAGGGCAATGAGAGACTGGTACAGCAGAGGCAGAAAGCAGGAGCAGAGTCGTGACAGTGGCAGGGGCAGCAGTGGAAGCGATGGCAGCCTGTGTCCTCTGCCCTGGGAGCTGAGGTCTGGTTGGACATGAATCCAGAGCCCAGGAAGTCCATGTGATGTGTCAAGGCCAGGCATGGCTCCTGTGGGACAGCTGGGGAAGGAAGGGCATTGCTCTGCCCGTGGTGCCTCCAAGCATGGCGTTTGTGAGGCATGTGGTAGGAATCGGGACTGAGGGACAGAGTGGTCAGTGTAAGCTCAGCACAAGGCAGACTTTGGGATTGTGAGGCTGCAGGAGCAGGTACAGATGGATTGAGAGATCGTGGCAGAGAGTGGGGACCCCGGGCGTCCAGGGGGCTTGCTGTCTGCCTGGGATCCTGAGGCAAGAGGGAAACCATGGCAGCCGGGTGCCCTCAACTCAGCTCCAGGTGCTGGCCGACCTTTTCGTGGAGGACGGGCTGCCCGAGCAGGGGTTGTGCAGACCCTGCCTGCTTCTCTGGGCAGAGGCAGGAACACAGGCCTGTGGACGCCCCTGCTCATAGGCTAGTCCCATGTCGCACAGCTGGGCAGTGTCTATGCTTGGTCCAGGAGTGGGAAGTTGGTAGCAGAGGACACCTAGGCCTCGGGTGTGACACAGGGGCCCCCTGGGACATCCCTCAGAATTCTGCCTGACTCCGCCCATGAATAACATTTCCATCTTGGCTCATGGTCCCCTGAAGACACTGCATTGTGCCAGGCACAGATGACCCAGGCCACTCTGTCTGAGTTCTTGGCCACTGTCAGAGTTTGGCCCATTTCACAAGGAGGAAGCTGCCCCTTTCAGTGTTCTGAGGGGAATGGGAGTCCTCAGCCCCTGGTCCTGAGCCCCTGCGTGTGCCCGGGGGCTCTGTCCCCACTGCCGTCCCTCCGCCTGCCTCAGGCCCGGGAGACTGTCTCCAAGGAGCGCACGTTTGCAGAATCATTTCAAACAGCATGTGTGTCTTCCCCAAGGTGAGAAACCATACCAGTGTGATTTCAAGGACTGCGAGCGGAGGTTTTCGCGCTCTGACCAGCTCAAAAGGCATCAGAGGAGACACACAGGTTTGTGGGTTGCTTCTTGCGGCTGGCTGTCACCCTCCGTGGGATAGGGTCGGTGCTCGGTTCTCTTCCTTATTGAACATGGATGAGAGGGTCTGTATCAGTTTCATTTTTGTAATCTTTATCCTCATCTGGAGACTTTCCTTCTCTTAAAAAAAGAAAAAAGAAAAGATAAAGAAGGGGAAGAGCAGGAGTGTCTCCCATTTCTCATGGTCCCCAGCGATGGGCCGGTGGCAGTGAGCAGAGTCTGAGCTACAGGAACCTAGCCTCCACCGCCACCAGGAGCTGCCTGCCAGCACAAAGCAGAGTATTCTGGCCGAGCACAGGCAGGGTGTTCTGGTCCAGGACAGAGCAGGTCCTTGAGGGTCTCAGTGTAGGCAGAGTCCAATGGTCCCGCTGGGCCGGGTGCGCCGGGGACACCGAAAGTGTGGCTGAAAGCCGGGCGCTCCAGCCCCAGGAAGCCAGCCCAGTGCACGTTAGGGCCGAGGCCAGACCTTCTCTGTCCGTCTAGGTGTGAAACCATTCCAGTGTAAAACTTGTCAGCGAAAGTTCTCCCGGTCCGACCACCTGAAGACCCACACCAGGACTCATACAGGTAAAACAAGTGCGTAAACTTTTCTTCACTTTTATTTTTCATTATTTTTGGTAAATGAGTGTGGAGCGAGGTGTGTGGTGGAGAAGAGAAAGGACCTGTGTATGTGTGTCGGGGGCGGGGTTTCTCTGAGTGCTAGGAGTACTGCTTCCCGGCTGGGACTGGGGCTGGGGCCTCTCCATCCAGATGAGAAGGGAGCAATAACCCGGGCCCTGCCGATGCTCTGGGACCTCAGTGTGGGGTGAGCAGTCTTCCGGAAGAGGCAGAGGCTGTTGCAGGCTGGGCTTTATCACCTGAACCCTGAATGCCCCCTGCCTGCCAGGCTGACAGTGGTACGTGGCTGTCATCTTTCTCCTGGGGTACCCAGGGGACCACTGCCCCTTTGTGAACCTAGCTACTGCCCATCCTGGCTGGGCCACTGCAATCGCTGAGGATAGCAGTGCCCTCTGTGCCTTATTATGACCAGGGAGGTAGATTTCACTCCGCTTACAAAAGGGGAGATTGAGGCACGCAGTGGTCGGGTGACTTGCCCCAAGGCCCAGAGCTAGTGAGTGAGCAGCTCAGTCCTGCTGTCCTTGCTGGGGAGGGGCACATGTCCTCACAGCATTCCAGCAAGCGAAGCAGCGTGGGACAACCAGGGCCAGCAGAGCTCAGTGCCACCAAGAGGCTGAGGATGGTGACAGAGGAGCAGGGCTGGGATTTGTTCCCAAGAGGCGGCCGGGGGGGGGGGGTGCGTTATCAGGACAGTGGGGGTGGGGAGGCCTCAGAACCAGGGAGGCCTGGTCTCAGCCCCACCAGCTCCCACCCTGCACCCCTTCTTGGCCACTTCTTTGTTGTCCCGAGTCACAACGTTTGGGGAAGGTGCTGATGCTTGCAGGCTCCTCCTAACCGAGGACACCTTGAGCCATGCACATTTGCTGTCTTCTGTTCTGAGCAGCTGTTTGGCTCAGCAGGGCCCCAGGGGACCTCCAGGCAGCATGAAGAGCCTCAGGACAGGGTGGCAGGCCAGACGGAGGATGAGGGGCTTCGGGCCTGGATGGGCCCAGTCTGCAGCCAAGGGTGATGCCTCCCTTCTGTTGGCCGGGTCCGGCCCAGGGGAGTCGGGCATGTGAGCCCGGGGCCCAGCACAGCACAGGGCTCAGTGTGGATGCAGCATTGAGGAAAACCCAGTCCCTGCCCTAGGAAGACCCGGGCCCCGAGGAGGATGGGTCCTTACTGCAGCGGGTGGAGTAGGATCAGCAGAGAGGACACAGGTGGTAATGACAGAGCCCCCTGGCTAGCACAGGGCTTGTAAGGGGGTCAGCAGCGCCCAGCATGGGCGCCTGGGCCTCTGCTGTCTCTGACCGGTGTGTGTGCCCACAGGTGAGAAGCCCTTCAGCTGCCGGTGGCCCAGCTGTCAGAAGAAGTTCGCCCGGTCTGATGAGCTCGTCCGCCACCACAACATGCACCAGAGGAACATGACCAAGCTGCAGTTGGCGCTCTGAGCCCAGGCAGCTCTGGGGCCGGCAGGGGGCGAGGCACTGCTTCCAGCTGTGTGTTTGAAATCCTCCTCCCTCACCTCTCTGAGAAGGCCTAGGAGCTGACCGTCCACCTGTGTCCAGCTTCCAAGACCCCTGACGGGATTCCCCAGGTTTGCCAGGGGAGCTGCCTTGGCTCTGCAAACCTTCAGTTGCCCTGGAGGCCTGGAAAAGCCGTAGTGTTGAGCCCAGTACCACCAGGTTGGGATTTTCTGCTGGAACATTGTTGATAACATCCCCTGCTCCTTTTAGCTCATTTTCACTAGGAATGGAGTGGTTGTGCCGTTTCCCACCCTGGGATATTTATAGCCAGGGCATACGTACGTGTCTGCTAAACTTTGTCATGGTTTCCATTTACTAACAGCAACAGTGAGAAGTCAGTCAGTGAGGCGTGGCAGGTGGCTCTCCACCAACCTCACCGACCTCTGGGGTGGGTGGGCAGGCTGCTAAACTGGGGAGCAGGAGGGGCTCTGCCAGGCAGGGTAAGGGGCTCCTGCATCTCAAGCAAGTGGGACAAGCATCGAACTAACCAGTACCTCTGTACAAAAGCCCGAGACTCGCTGCAGGGCGACTGCAGGGCTGACCTGGCACAGTGCTCGTAGAAGGCGCTCTTTCCTGTGGACCTTTTCCTTTTGACTTACAGTCATCCGAGATGCACAGAAATCCTCACACAAAGAAGCAGGGGCCATGCTCATTATTTGAGGTGCCCTTAGAGTGTGCAGACCACACGGGGCATGTGGCTTCAAGTTGTAAAATTTTAAGTGACTGAAAGAAAACGGGCTGGTCCAGAGTCCACTCATGAGACTGTCCTCAGTAACTTAAGTGTCCGGGTCCACACACACATGTGAAAAGGCACCTAAGTGTAGGTGTATGGACCGCAGGTGGTCCGGGTCAGTGTGTGATGTGCATGTGAGCGTGTGGGCGGGGTTTCATTTACCGTTGCTTGAAAACACTAAATACAGATGGACGATGATTTCCTGTTGGATGACCTAAGTTAGGAGCTGTACGCGTGCTGGGCCTCGCTGTCGGTGCCGTCTGTGGCACAGCGATGACACCACTAACTTTGTAACCTGCATCCTCACACTGCTCTGATTAAAGTCCTCAAAATCAAGTGCAGATGCGCTTGGCCTGTCATGCCTCGACTGTTTCCAGGTGGAGAAACGTTACCTGCATGCCGAGGACACCAGCAAGCCCATCAGCATTGCCCCGACAGCTGCTGAGCTGGGGAGCTGGCCGGCCTCGTGGGCCAGGGTTTGTTGTGGTGGGGTCCTCCAGGCCCTGTCCTTATCCGCTGCAGCCTTGTGATGGCAGAGCCACATGTGAGGCACATGGTTCTGCTGCTCGGGTGAATCCGGTGAAGCCACGTGAGCTCAGAGCTTGGTGTATCCGGCTTCCTTCCTTTATGTCCTGATGGCCCCAAGACCCTTTCCACATCAAGGTGCGGCTCTGAGTCTGACCACTGGTTCTCTCGTGTTCGCATGTGGGTCACTGTTAGTTTTGGGTTAGGGTGAAGGTTAGGGTTAGGGTCAGCGCTTTGGTCTTCTCCTGCCAGGGACCCGTTCTCTGGAGACTCAGGACCACCGGGTACGCACATCTGCAGTAGAGTTGCCTCTTCTTCCGGGGAGCCAGCTCCACCCAGCTGGCCCCATGCTGTGCTGGAGTCTCTGGCTAACACCTTGGGTCCTGTTTCCTTAACTGTAGAGGACAGGGCCTGTGCTCAGGAGCCATAGTGATTATAAGCGTGTGTCCAAACACCTTGTACACAGCAGAGGCTCATGAGAAAGTTGTCCCGGAAAACTGCTCCCCGCACACCCTTCTACCGCCCCCCCCCCAGCAAGAAGGAGGCATCCTGTGGGTTCACTCTCAGGTGACAACGTCCATCCCAGTGTCCCGAGCTGGAGGAGAGTCTCCTACACCTGCGTGTCTGTGTCCTCTGTCTGGTGCCAGGTTGTGCACACCTGAGGTCCCAGCTCTTGGGAGGCTGAGGCAGGAGGATCACTGAGTTCCAGGCCATCCTGGGCAACTAGTGGGTTCAAGCCAGCCTAACTGCACAGCAAGATCCTTCTCAATACAAGAAAAAAATTGTGGTCCATGTTGGTGGGTTTCCGAGACTCACTCTGTCAGGGGATGTGGGTCACGGCGCTCCCTGGGGCCCTAGCAAAGGCTGCACTGTACCTTCCAGCTTGGCTCTGGGGCCTACTGTGGTCTGTCCCTTGCCAGGTGCTCTCTCTGCTCCAGGCTCTCTGAGCCCCGTGTCTGTGCCCTTCAGTGTCCATCCTTGCTGACCAGTGATGGAGTTGGGGGGGGTGAGGTTGATCCCTATGAAGGTGTTTGGGGCTCTGGGTGGAACCATGTGCCTGAGTCTGGGGGAGCCACCTGCAGGGGGGGCTCCAGGGGAGGAGCCTGTGGAGGCCACACCTCCCCACAGAATACCTGTGGTGCAGGCCTCAGGCTCCTGAGTGATCTCCTGAGGGTCAGCTGCTCCGTGGCTCTGGAAGATGTGCAGGGCACTGTGTCCTGCCTGCTGCGAGCATCTGCTCAGCCCTCTCGGAGACTAAGGGGCCAGCAGGCACTGCACCATTGTGTGATTGTCCCCGAGGTGAGGGGACCCACAGATGAGGAAACAGGCTCGGCTAGGGTCACATGCTCCTGTGTCCACAACTGTGATTCTGTCCCAACTGTGACTCTGAGCTGCTCTGCCCACCCCATACAGCCCCATGCCTGGCCTGTCCCACAGCCATGGACCCCAAAACCAGAGAGCAGTGCTATGGACTTGGGGGTTCTGGGGTCTCCTCGGGCACCCTGAGACAGACAGTGGGGAAGGGGCAATCTGTGCCTTCCCAGGCCCAGTGGTACCTGGTGAAATGTGTTTTAAATCATTGTTTTCTAAAATACCAGAACTCAAGAAATGACACGGTACTACCAGCAGGCAGCACTAAAGGGGCAAACTTGGGAAAACGCACCTGAGAAGTTCAGGCTCAAAGACTGCTTTGCAAGAGCAGCGCCTGCCTTCCCAGAAGAGCTCTGAGGAGGAGGAGGAGCTGGCTGGGACAGGGCTCCTGTTGGGAGGCAGGAAGAGACATAGAGGGGACATGCACCATGGACAGGACTGAGCCTCTCCTCCACAGCAGCCTGTTCTGGGAGGAGCATCCATCTGGGCCAGGGAACTTCAGACCTGTCTCATCCTGGCTTTCTTGAGCTCTGGGAAACAAGAGCTCCTGTCAGAAGATGGCTGTGTCACTCCCCCTGGTGTGGCCTTCCGGGAACCTGTTGCCCAAGGGGGAGACAGGCAGAGCCATCTCTGACTCCTGGTAGTATGACCTTGGGGTGTCAGGTAGGGGGATGGGTCCTTGTGGCCTTCATCCTGGAGCTGGCTCCCCTTGTAGTCCTCACAGGTGACTCTGATGCTGTTGGGGTGGGTTCTGCAACACTGCCAGCCGGTGTCCGGTAGTGTCCACCATTTGTGCTGAGTTAGTCCTGGACCACCTCTGCTTGCTTCTGCCTCAGCTGCCTGCGTGGGCCCTGGGCTGGGGGTGAGGTGGTAGAAGAGGCAGGGCCCCGATTGGGCAGGAGTTCCTGCAGGGCTCTGTCACCTTCTCCTGGGAGCCTCGAAACCCTGCCTGAGCCTCGGAGCCTCAGCCTGGGTGACACAGCCTTAGGTGTGGATCCTGGGACCCAGCTTGTTACCCTGCCTGGGGAGCAAAGGAGTGGAGGGCGAAGGGGCTGAGTGACTGCATCTCAGAAGATGCCAGCAGATGGGGCTGTGGGCACCCCAGCCGATCAGATGTCAGGTCCTAGCCTGTGGTCCTGTGGACTCTCGAACAAAGCGATGAAAACCTCCTAAACCTGTTCCTGAAAATAATCTGTGACTTTCGAGAATCCACAATCATCGATCCATCTCAAACTGTGGCCTTCTCTGGGAGGTTGCTGCGTCTTCCCTGAAAGGGAGAAGCTGGCCCGCTGGCCTGACCCTCTGCTGTGGGTCCAGGGTTGCCCACAAAGGCGTGTGCCGAGAACTCCACCTGGGGCACAGCTGTGTCCGGGAGGTCTCTGTCCTCATGCGTGGGCAAGTGGCCAAGGCCGTGAGTCCTGCTCTCTTCCCTTGCTGTGCGGCGCCTTCATCCTGCCACCCCACCACTCTGACTCTCCTCTCGGCCCTCCAAATCTAGAACTGTGGGCTGACATTTCCATTCTTCACCAATAACCTGGTCTCAGGTATTCTCCTGCAGCAGCGAAAAACAGACCATGACAGAATCTAACGCCAGACACCAGAAACTGCCTTCCATGCTTCCTGTTTCCCTCTGTATTTGTCCTTGTAAGATGACAGGCTCTGTGGACAGATGGACCTGCACCTGCTTTCCAGCTTCCAGGCCTGTAACAGAGTCCGTGAGACGACCAGCTTAATAAGGGAAATTTGTTTGGTTCCTGGTTTCAGAGCTCAGCCCATGGTGCTTGGTCCTGCTGCTTTGACAGCAGAGTGTCTCAAGGCTGGAACACAGTGGAGGAAGCTGGATGGCTGCATGGTGGCCAGAGCTGAGACCGGAAGGGGAGGGTCCATGGCCACTGCCCCGAATCTCACTTTCGATCTCCAGGCCCCACCCATTTAAAGGTTCCACCCCTTCTTGTAGTGTCACACCGAGGCCCAAGCCTCTTTACACAGGCCTCTGGGGACACTCCAGATCCAAGTGCAGCACCTCTCGGCTCACACACTGGAAAACTGGCCCCAAGCTCCTGTTGCAAAGTACTCAGAGGCAGAACCTTGGTGAGGTTAGAACTAGATGGGGCCTTGGTGGCTTTCCGGGAAGAGGAAGGGTGGCCCAGGCAGCGCCTCGGCCATGTCCCCGGTGCTCTGCGGTGGCCTGCAGTGGGAGGCCCTGCGGGGGCCAGCTCGTGCTGTCCACCCTGGGGAACCTCCAGCTGCCCCTTTGGTGCCAGGCCCCAAAGAGGTGCGGTGCAGGCTTCGGGGCGTGGAGGATGCACAGCTGGGTCTGCAGCCGGGCTCGGCCTCTTCCGCTGATAAGGTGGTATGGCCAGCAGGCCTCGTCCTCCATCTGTGTCCAGTCAGGGAGCTCATCTTTCGGGTGGCTCCTCCTTGCCACCATCAGCCTCATGACCTCCCAGGGCACACCAGGCCCAGCTCCTGGTGCTGGTGCCCAGGCAGAGTGGGCTGCTAGCTCAGCCAGGTGCCCCGACACCCGCAGAGGGGGCTGCGCTGTTTTGCAGCTGACACCGGACCTGCCTTGGTGTTATGGGCTCTTGTGGCCTGTTTATGTAGGGGGTGTCACCGCCTCTCTGACCCCTCCTGCTCTCTCTCCCTTTATGCCTCCCCGTCCTCCCCCACAGGTTGGAGATCCCAGCCTGGGCGGTGGCCTGTCCTTCTGAGGCTGGGGTCCTGGTGGCAGTGGCAGGGACATACTGGAGACATTGTCTGGCCTGGATTGCAAAAAGCTCGAACTGACAAGGGTGCACTGTGTGTCCCCAGGATGTACGCTCAGACTTGAGTGACTGGAGGGCTCCATGCCCTCTTCAGTCAGTTCCCGCCTGCAGTAGCACTGCAGAGCCACTCACCGCCCCAGGATTGCCGCCGTGACCTTCTGCACACAGATACTGAAGCTTGGGAGGAAGTGACCTCACTCGCTTTCAACTTCCCATCTGAGATATGGTATCATTTCATTCACTTCACAGCTGCGGCATGCGGTCTGCCAGAGAGCCAGGCACAGCCTCCTTCCTGAGGGCCTCATGGTCCAGCAAGAGGATCGGAGATCTGAGCAGGTAGCGCAGGCATAGGCAAAGAATCTGAAGTGGGGACTACCTGATGGGCCAGGCCAGCCCGGGTCTTGAAGCACATACAGGAGTTTTTCAGGAGAAAAAGAAGGCAAAGAACGTTCTAAGTAAAGGAGCTGAAGAAGTTAAGAGAACAGGGAATGCAATGGGTGACTGAAATGTATGTGAGAGTTTACATTTAAAACCTTCGCTACAATCTGAGAGAGTAAACAATCCAAAATGCACAAGATACTATGATAGGGAAGAAACTCTTCAAAAGAAAAAACACTGGTGGGAGAAAGGTGAAAGGAAGGAAGGAAAAAGGAAGAGAATACATATAAATGCAAG